CGTCTCACGCTTGAGGTATTCGGCCAATCACAACGCACTGGATAGCTGGCCAATCAGAGCACACCTCGCTTTTCAGATCGATGAGCTTTGTAAAAATCGACGCGTTTCAGAAAGGCGGGGCATAGAGGAGAAACAATAATGCACAGTATGTGGAAAATAATGTGTTTTTGAACCTTAAACCACATAAACACATTTCATTACACCAAATACACAAAATTATGTTCTTTTTAGCAGCATCATATGACCCCTTTAAGAGTTTAACAAAAATTAAATTTTTAGTAACCCTATGAAATAAGTTTTACTTTTCTCAAATTCCGTTTTATTCCTGCAAATATTAAAGCATGGAAGAACAATTGTGTAATTATTCCTTAAAAATAAATCTTTAATTATTTTTATTATTCTTATTATTACTTTGAGCAGTACATTGTACTGTACACTTGTAATATATTTCTATCACAGTTTCTTTAAGTTAAACCGAACCTCCATTCTTCCTTGATATAAATAAGGGATTTCAATTTGAATATCTATCCTTACATCAAAATATGCAGATAGAGTCAACTGTTCAATGTATTTTTTGTATTAACAAATATGCACAAAATAACTCACCCCAGGTTCTCCAGTTTACACTTGGGATATTTTAGTAGATCTGAAAGCTGCTTCACTCCTGAATCTGTAATATAATTGTTACTCAGGTCCAGTTCTCTCAGATGAGACGGGTTTGATCTCAGAGCTGAACTCAGAAAATCACAACCTCTGTCACTAATATGACAAGATCTCAACCTGTGAGTGTGACAAATAACAATATGGTAAGAATCAGGTAATTATTAAATACCATTGTTTTAGGTGTCATTTTAAGTGAACAGTTTACATAATAGGGTCGCAGTTTCATTAATATAGTGAATTAAGTTCACTATATATAAAATGTTCAATTTCATACCCACGACTTTACCTGTACATACTATCATTCAAAATTTTGTAATTACTCATTTTTCATAAATTAAAAAATTGGTAAATAATTGGTTAATGCCTTATAAATGTCATGGGACCAAGACGTTGCTGAATAAATTGCTGATCACCTTTGCATTTTGGAATAATGTGAGGAATTACTCTTTACTAATGAATTTAAGTATGAAATAACTAAACTGAAAAAAGTTATTTCTAGTAATATTTTTGTAATGCAGGGGACGTGACAAGCAGAGTTGGGGATCCACGTGCAGGCTTTATTAGCAGGAGCACAGTCAAACAGGCAGGGTCAATTACCAGTAAACCATAGCATCAAATTCAAAACAAAAGAGTAATCCAAAACACAGGCAATGGTCAGGGTCAGGGCCAGGGCCGTGTTATCCAAATGGGCAACATGGGCTGCAGCCGAGGGCCCCGAACACTAGGGGGCCCCCGAGACTATTCTCTTTTGCATCTTAAAACACTTTTGATCGAGGTAATTATGCGTACATAGGGCATCGTTGTCAGAGGTCATTTTCAAAACTGGAACTTATATAAAAAAATTAACTGAGGACATCTATGCATAAACAAAGGCTGAACTGTTTGACAGTAATGTCAGTACGATATTCTGCATCAACTTGATTTTAAGGATTTAAATGAGGAATTGAGGAATTCTCCTTGAAGAAGAGCAGGAAGAAGTCCTTTTGGTGAGTGATACTTAATTAATTTTATTTGCGGGGCTGTTTCTGATTGGTAAGATTATTACTCGATAACATTGTTAAATTTATGTACATAATTTTTAGCGTACAGTGGGATTATGACATGCGATTTATGTTTGTTTATTTTAAATTCACGAGTATAACGTCTTTATACGGTGCAGTGGTGAAGCCAGAATTTAAATGTTTTAAAATGTTTTTTTTTTTTTTTTTATCTTAAAATGAAGGGTCGCTCTATATTACATGTAGGCTGTAATGTCTATATTAAATGTGTGCATTTTCAAGTGTTTGTGAGGATTGTGGAAGCTGAATAACAGCGCGCTTATATACTGCATGACAGATAACATGAGACGCTGGTGTGATCACTCGCTCTTAAAATACTCATCATGTTTGGTCATACAGACAAGAATAATTACATCGTTCAAATCTGTTAAGGGTCTACATTTGTTTGTGTACTCTCACAATAACAATAAAATGTTTTGCGCTGTTAAATAATGAAACAAACAGGATACTATTTCTGCCATCTCGCGTCAAAAAATTAACCGAAATGCCGTTGCTTCACAGACATGAGAAAAATATATCTATAGAACGCAAAATGTTTTAATAATGAACCAATTCAAATTATGTACGATTATGTAATCCATATGAAATGTGTAGGCTATATTGCACTTCCACCGCAGAGATGACGATCACTTTTTAGTTTATCAATACATTATTAAAATGGTAAGGTTCTTGCAGTTTTCTCCGAAACATTAAAAAAGATGACCAGAGCGTAGACTTACATAATTAAAACAATTAGTTTGAAAACAGCCGTTGCATTTACCGGTCCCTGCAGCATTTTAATTTGTCAATCTATCAGAGTAATAAATCAACAATTCCTTTTTTTAAGCAATCAGAAATACCTTGTGGCTAGGCTACTGAAACCGTTTTTGTATGATTGCACATTTGATTTACCAATGCATTGAATATAACCGGCATGTAACTGGGGGAGGGGGGCCATTGTATTCCTTGTGAAAAATTTAAAACAACAACACTCACCCCAGTTTTTTCAATTTAAATCTATTATCTTCTAGTAGATCTGATAGCTGCTTCAATCCTGAATCTCCGAGTAAATTCTCACTCAGGTCCAGTTCTCTCAGATGAGACGGGTTTGATCTCAGAGCTGACATTTATAGAATGTTTATTCTTCAATAAAAGAGATACACAAAATAAAGCCAGTGACACTCACTCCAGTTTCCCCAGTTTACACTGAAGATCTGCCAGCAGCTTCACTCCTGAATCTCCAAGTGCATTCCCACTCAGGTTCAGCTCCCTCAAATGAGATGGGTTTGATCTCAGAGCTGAACTCAGATCAGCACAAGCTTTGACACCAATTCCACACTGATATATCCTGCATTCAAGTAGTAACAAAAAAAAAAAAATGTTGTTTCTGAAAATAGGCATAAAATAGGGTGTGTGGTGGGGTTATAAAGATAACAAGAACAAATGACATTTAAAATATTGTCTGGAAAATACTATTACTAATTAAAAAGATTTATAAATAATTCAAAAGTATTTGTATAGCACCTTTCACAATAACACCCCCCTTGGGGGTGGGTCACAGATCACACAGTGTCTGACAGTGGAGGAAAACTCAACACCTCGCTCTTTTAAAGTTGAAGTGCCTCATGGAACTGTTTTTTGGAATCGTGACCATTTTATTTATATAAATATAAAATAAATAAAATATAAAATAAATATTTATTATATTGATGGAACAGAGAATGATGGTGCTTTAGGTAGGCCTCATCTGCCTGAGACCTTTGATAACACACACACGTACACATCACTAGCCGCTGTTTCACTGATAGGCCAGTGCAAGCCAGGGCTAACATTGGGCTGGGCCAATAGCCTCAGACCTCGAGCAACTAGGCCAAAAGCAAGCTGACGGACCAGTAGCCCTGCAGGGGTACTCTAAAACTCATCCTTAACACGCCTCCCTGGAGAAAATGACACACAACCCAAGCATTTCACCAGCGAGGGAAGCAGAATGAAAACTAGTAGCTAGTTCACAAAACAAATATAACAGAAGCTGACATTTGGTCTTTAAATACAGACTTACACTCCATCATCGATACTTATCTAATAATTTATAACAAATGTTACAGTGACAGTAATTTATTAATTTGGGCAGGTAGTGCATCTAAATAAATACATAAACAGAAGAACACACATACTTATTCAGTTGTGCCTGCTTCGATTTATTTATCATGACAGGAACGCACAAAACCACTTCATTAGTGCTTTTAAGTCCAAAGGCAAACAGATTTACAAAAACATTTGTAAACTCTCATGTTTATGTCCCATTTATTTGGAAAGAATGAGCAGTCCTATTTCCTTTTCCATGAAATTCTGCAATCTGAGAAGGTTTGAGTGCTCTCTCCTCTCTCACTATACTGCAGTGTTTCTCAACCCTGGTCCTGGGCGCCCCCCAACCCTGCTCAGTTTGTAGTTTGATCTCAGAGCTGAACTCAGAACAGCACAACCGTCCTCATTAATGAAACAAGATCTCAACCTGTGTGTGGAAAGAAAATATTAAATAATGATACTGTTTTTTTTTAGTGTTTGATTAGGGAGACACACAAAATGTGCAGTGTTGGGGGGCGCCCAGGACCAGGGTTGAGAAACACTGCTATACTGTAATACTTTCAGGCAGATCAACAGAGGGAGCTCATGCACAGGAGACCGGAGTTATATGAGTTGAATGAGTCCGGTATCAAAAAAGGAACAGGGGAGAGAAAGATGAAATATGAAACCAAATAAATACACAATTTTAATATATGATTATATGATTCAAACATTCTTCAAACATAGTCTCTCGTATTTTCATAAGCATAGTGTGTATTTATCATGACAATTGTTAGCATAAGCAGCCTTTAACATTGCATATAAATCTATAAATATATTTCTGCCTCATACATTGATATGAATCCACATTGGATCGCAATCGGAAGTTCCCTATCTGTCGGTCACTAGAGCTATGTTGTGACGAAAGTAGGGGTCTTACTTGGGAGCCCCAATCACCTCTAAATTTTATGGAAATGGCCAATGGGAATTGATGAGTGGATTTTGCATGCCAAGCCACTCCCCCGTGTGTACGGGTATATAAGATGGCGGTGTGCCTCCACTCATTCAGATTTTTGCTTTGGAGCCGAGTGTATGTGTTCTCTCTCACTACACAAAGCCATTCACCTCTCTCAACACTCTTCTGTGTTGGCGTTAAGGTGCATTCAGCGGCGTCCCCCGCTCTGGCAGCGTGATTCCCCTGGGTGCTTCATCACTAAAAGAAAAGTTTCTCTAAAAGAGCAAATCACTCCCCGTCCTGGTTCCTCAGCACAGCTCAGGGCCACGTCAGTTGGTGCTCTGGGAGATCTGAGGATCATAGTGGGAGCAAATCCGCTGGGCCAGTCCCCACGGACCTCGCACTCATCGTGCAGTGTTTGTTCCATGCAGCTTCCGGATTATTCTGCTGGCCTGTCACACGGCAGCCACAGCGTTTCATTCAGAGCTCTGCCAGAGGATCAGTTGTCGATAGCAGCATCGGGGGATGGGCTATTGTCCTCTGAGGATGAAGATTTGAACCCAGAGTTTGCAGACATGCTATCCTGGGCAGTCGTGGGCATCAGGCTGGAGGTGAATACACCACCCAGCCCCGAGCGCTTGCAGTTGGATGATTGGTCTCTTGGTGCAGAGCATGGCTCACAACCTCATTCTGCCCCAGTTCCTTTCTTCCTGGAGGTGCATGAGGAGGTCACAAAGTTGTAGAAGGCCCCTTTTATGGCCAGAAGCCATTCTGTGACATGCTCCGTCCTTACTAACCTCGATGGCGGGGCGGCTAGGGGTACGTGGACATTCCCCAGGTGGAGAGAGGGGTTACGGTTCATTTATGCCCGCAAAACACCGTCACCTGGAGGAATCGTCCGTGTCTCTTATCCAAAGCCTGTAAGCTGACATCAGCTCTTGGTGCCAAAGCTTACAGCGCTGTGGGCCAAGCCGCCTCTGCCCTGCATGCCATGGCCTTCCAGAAAGTCCATCAGGCCAAGTCACTTACACAGATGCATGAGGTTCCGCAGTTGGTCACCCACATTTTCAATGAAATAGCAGTTTCCTCTCTCTCCGGATTACATGGCCTGTAGTCTGAAAGTGAGCGATGCACTGCCTCCTCACTCTCAGCCACGATGCCCTCTATCGCCAGTGGCCAAGAGGTCGCGGTTCGAGGACGTTACACCTCCTGACGCATCTCTAGCCAGTCGCTCTGGGGACACCAGGAACCCTGTCGGTCTCACATCATGTCTGCCAGGCCTGTCCCAGGATGTTATACCTTCTGGGCCAGCCAGCAGGGTTCCCCACCACTGCATCACCGCGGTTATGTCAATTGTCCCTTTGCTGATTGTCCCATGCAATCTCTTTTCTCAGTATGGAGTTGGACTCGGTCAACATGACGGCACGGCTCACCAATGAACACACTAAATCGGTGCTGAACTGCCTGAGTTTTTTCAGAGGCAGGATGGTGGTACCATTGGAGCAATTTCAGAGGCTCCTGGGGCATATGGCAAGGACGGGCTGGGGCGCAACATGCCAAGGGCAGGCAGCCTCAGGGTACTGGACAGGACCTTGATTGCTTTGGCGCATCAACTGCCGGAAGTTGCTGGCAGTGCTTCTAGCCCTGCGGTGGTTCTGGCCCCTGCTGCAGTGCAAGCATGTGTTGGTCCGCATGGACAGCACTGCAACTCTTGCGTATATCAACCACCAGGGAGGTATATGGTCATGTTGCATGTCACAACTCATCCGTCATCTCCTCCTCTGAAATCAGACGTAGCTCAAATTGTTGTGTGACATCCATATCCCAGGGGAGCTCAACCGTGCAGCCAATGAGCTCTCATGCCAGCTCACCCTCCCTGGAGAATGGCGACTCCATCCTCATGAACTGGAGTCAATTCAGAGAAGCTCAGGATGACCTGTTCGCTTACCACAAATCCTCCCACTGCCAGCTGTATCTTTCACTGACCGAGGCCCCCCTCGGCATGGATGCACTGGCACAAAGCTGACCTTGGGGCCTGCGCAAATATGTGTTTCCCCCAGTGAGCCTACTTGCACACACACTGTGCAAGGTCAGGGAGGACGAGGAACAGGTCTTGCTGATTGCACCTTACCGGCCCACCCAGACCTGGGTTTTGGAACTCATGCTCCTTGCAACAGCCCCTGTCTGGCGGATTCCCTTGAGGAAGGACCTTCTTTCTCGGGGGCAGGGTACCATATGACACCGGCATCCAGATATTTGGAACCTCCACATGTGGCTCCTGGACAGGACGCGGCAGACTTAAGTGATCTGCCACTGGCGTGGTAGACACTATCACTCAAGCCAGAGCCCGCTTTACCAGGCGTGCTTATGCCTTGAAGTGGAGTCTGTTCGCCAAAGATGCCAAATCAGAGTGGTGTTTTCTTTCCTGCAAGAAAGGTTGGAACGTGTGATCTCTCTGTTGTCCTGGCGGGACTTCAGAGAGATCCCTCTGAGCCGCTTGAGTCAGCTGAGCTTAAGGTCCTGTCTCTTAAGACAATGCTCCTGACTGCATTCATCTCCATCAAGAGGGTTGGGGACCTGCAAACATTTTCGGTGAGTGAAGAGTATTATTCAGGCCGGCCTACTCTCACATTGTCCTGAGACCCCTGCCTGGATACGTGCCCAAGGTTCCCACTACTCCCTTCCAGGACCAAGTGGTGAACCTGCAAGCTGCCCCCGGAGGAGGCAGACCCAGCCTTGGCGTGGCTGTGTCCTGTATGTCCCCGGCGCATCTACATAGACTACAACTGGAGCTTCAGAAGCTCCGAGCAGCTCTTTATCTGCTTTGGAGGTCAGCAGAAGGGGGAGGCTGTCTCCAAACAGAGGTTGGCACACTGGATAGTGGATGCCATCGCCTTCGCGTACCAATCCCAAAGCAAGCCGTGCCCCCTGGGAGTGAGGGCTCACTCTACACAGAGTGTAGCCTCCTCCTGGGCTTTGGCAGGTGGTGCCTCTATTGCTGACATCACATAACACCTTCGTGAGATTCTACAATCTCAGCGTAGATCCAGTCTTTTCCTGTGTGTTGAGTAACAGGTAATTGGCGGGAAGAACTGGCTCACTTGCTGCACCATCCCCCTCACGTCCCCTCTCTCTTCCAGTCGAGTTCCCCGCATGGCTAACCCTGGTCGAGCATCCTCCAGTACCCTCGGCAGTTGGACTTGGCAGAGGATTCTGATGCCTGGCCCAGTACTGGTGTTAACTTGCCCAGAGCTCCGGTCAGCCCCTGTGTTGTGCCAGGTGTTCCATATGGTGTGATTCCCTGTGGGCAAACCCATATGAGTATTCTT